CGAGCTCTTCCTCGGGCGGAAAGGGAGCTGGTGACGGGGGTCCCGGGCGCGCAGACGGCGACGGGGACGTTGCGCCAGTGTTGCGACGGTGTGGCCGCAGATCGCGCGGCGGCCTCGGGGGCTGGTTCAAGCATCTGGGGGCCCGGGGGAGTCTGTCCGTCGCATTTCGCCATGGGCCTCGCGGAAGCAGCCGCGACTTAGGACAGCGCCGCGCCCAGGTATTCGTCGACCACCATGCAGATCAATACCGAGAAGACAGCTAAGGACCATGATGTCAAGTACTAGGGGAAGGAGGCCTCCGATCTTGGCAACGCTATGGTCAAGGGCGCTTCCGAATGGGCGTCGGCGCGGGGGGAGCTGGGCGCCGCGCTGGAGAACCTTGCGAAGCTTAAGGGAACGCGCGTCGCGAAGCAAGCCGGGGACGCGCGCCGAGCGCCCCCCTTCCGCGCTTGGCACCCCCCAGCCCTGGAGGCTTCTAGCGATTCCCTCGGCGCGGCGAGCGCCCTGGCTGGGGCGGCTGTGAGGGGGCCGAACTCCGAGGCGTGGCGGGGCAAGTGCCTTAGTTGGCGGTCGAGCTCCACGGGCTCCTCGCTAAATCCATCTTGCGCGACAATGGCGAGTGGCCCGCGGGGCGCGTGGCCGCCTTCGCTTCAGTGAAAGTGGCCGGCGTTTCGACGCGAGGCTCTGACGACGCCCGGCCCGTGGCTGTGGCCTCAGTGTGGCTGCGGGCCTGGCATTCGGATCTCCTCCCCAGCTTGCCCCCCCCGCCCCAAGGCCTCGGGCGAACGAGGCGCCGTCCGGTCCGCGGCGGACTGGGCAGCCGCCCCGGGTCGGCGCGGGGCCGAGAGCGACTCCGTGTCGCGCGCGGTCGCCTGCAAGGTCTTGCTCTGCCTAGGCGCGCCGCCGCAGGTGGTGCGGTGGCTCCGGCGCACGTGGGCTGCCCCCGCCGCGTATGCTGCGTCGCCGGGGCCACGGTGCCGGCCCTCCACCCCGCCGCCGGCATCCCTGCTGGGTGCTCCTGCTCGGGCCGGGTCCTGGGGGCCAATGCGCGCTTGCGCCAACGTCCGTCCTGGTCATGCGTCGACGACGGGAGCTCCAGGGCTGTAGCGGTTGCGACCGCCCTCGGCAGCCGCCTCGGGCTCACTGGGCACACTGGCAAACGATCAGCTCTGGCAGGGCGACGGGTGCGCGGAGCATTTTGGCATTCGGGCGCGTCTTGGGAGCCATCTCGTTCCCCCTCCGGCCCGGGGCCCTCGTGGCAGTTAGGGGTCATCGAAGATCGCGCCCGCAAGTTGTTCCACGTCCCTGGTTGCGTGGGCATCCGCGCCCTGAAGGCGGTCATGTCCGTGGCCTCGAAATACCTCTGGACTGTCCCCATTCACGGTGTGCCCCCCCCGCCTCCTTGGTCAAGCTCGCGTCTGGGCGTGTCGCTCGCGCTCGCTGCGCCTGGCGGGGCCAACGGCGCTGGTGGGCCGAACGCCTCGAGCTCCACACCGTCTTCGGCACCTCTCTCCAGGCCTTCCGCCGGGCTGTCCGCTTCCCGCGGTCGCTCCTTTGGCGGTCTTGCGTGGTCCACCGCGCGGCGACCTTCCGGGCCCGCCTGGGTGGTTGGCCGTCTGGGTCCGCGCTGGGCCTAATTAGCCTCGACCCACGCGCGGCGACCGCCTTGGACGAAGCCGCGGCCACCTCCAGCTGCCGGCCCTTCTGCGACGTTTCCTCTCCCCGCGGCCAGCGCGTCCAGCGCGTCTGGGCGCGCGCTCGGCTTCTCCTGCGTCGCGCCCGCAGGCCCCGGCGCGACGAAGGGGGGATGCAGGACATCGACCTCGAAGCGTCCTCCGGGCCCCCCTTGGGCCCAGTAGGGTCGAGCTCTCACTAATGATGTCACTAATGACCACCTTGGCTTGCTTGCGATCAAGCGCGGAGGGGCCGCCCCGAGGCTGGCGCGCTTGGCCGAAGCGCCAGAGTGCCCGCTCTGCGGGCACCCCGCCGCCTCCGCCGCGCACTTTTGGGCCAAGTGCGGTCGACGCGCACTGGTGGGCGGCTCAGCCCCGCGTTGCCGCCAGGACGGGCTGAGTCGCCTACCTGTGCCGACGCCGCGCGCCCGGTCCCAGGTGCAGGTGATGGCGTGCAAGCTCGGGATCCGCATCTTAGAGGCCTTGCCCCGGGAATCCAGCCTTGCTCCAGCTTCGAGAGGCCCCGCGGAACAGCGACAAGCGCATTCCGTCATGGACGGCGCTCCGCCCTTGAAGCGGCGGACCGCGCTCCCCCCTGGCCCCCTTCCTGAGCCAGCGACAATTGCCGCGACGATGGCGGCCCCGTCCCCGACGACCGCCCCCCGCCCCCCCCGGTTGGTGGCGTGGTGTGGTGTGGTTGCACGCCCAGAAGTCGAACGCGGGAGCCGGGGGCTTTCTCCTGCTCCCTCGACGCCCGGCCGCCGCTCCCGGCGGATCGAGCCCCTACCGGAGAGGCCCCGGCGGCCTCGTCTTATTTCCTTCCCTCC